AGGAAGAAGAGAAGGAGGAGGAGGAGGAGGAGGAGGAGGAGGAGGAGGGAGATGGAGGTGCTACATCGAAGGAGGGCCAGTCAACACAGCGGCCTCTTCCCTGCAGGCGTCCGCCCTTTTTTAAAACATTGGGCTCCCCTGGAGGCTCCTCTACACCACGGGCGGACGCGTCTCGAAGAACCGGGTCAGGATGGGCTCCGAGAGAAATCCATGGTTAGATTTTGAGCGGACTCGGGCCCGGCGGGAAGGCCGCTGATGTGTCCATCCGGAAGTTTCATGGCGTCAGCATCGCAGAGCGGATTTCGTTCTGACAACGATCGGGCGGGCCGGGGGTGTCCTGGAGGATCCCTCCAGATTTCGACGCGAATTTAGCGCGTTTTTTTGCTTGCCAGGAGTGAAGACCAGCAATAATCCACGCGAAATTCATTTCGTTTTCGCTCGACGCTTCGGTTAAACATCCACGCAGAAATCCACGCACAAATCCGCTGCAGCACGTCTGCAAGGCCAGTGCAATGAGAAGTTGGGAAATATACACTACCAGTGGCAGGCTGCTTTCAATCCGGGGACTTTTTGTGAGGGTCGGGGGCGACGTCGGGGTGGTACGGTAGATCCTCTTTTTTTCTCCCGGGGAAGCACGAAAAACGTATACACCATGATTCGCTGTCCTGTGCGAATGTCAGTGCGGGGCCAGAAAACGCGTCGGTGTATAGCGTTCGGTTCCTTATGAAGTGGCCTTGCCCAGGCTGCAGAATAGAGTTGGAATGCACCGTGCAGGCGACTCGGTCGATGAGGGGCAATTGGAGTGCAATGAGCCTCTCGAAGCTCTCCGCGACGAGTGTCACACTTGTCTGTCCTTTAATCACAGAGACGATTTCAATGAGCATAATGTGCTTGTAGTGCGTCTACAAAGCGACCCTAGTGCTCTGGATATTGTGCAGGTCCTATAGGATGTGATACTGATGAGGTCTGGGGCTTCGCATGCGGCGGACATGAAGAATACGATTTAGGACAAATCGATGCACTCAATGCGAACGCCCGTGACAACTACCATGTCATGACACATGTGCAATTGGTTACAAGTGGCGTGGAAGGGTTGACAAGTCCGCGTCGTTAATCCATTGGTCATGGACATGTCGCCACCATCGGAACGACATCTATGGCATTTCAACAGGCGATCGAATTTTCAGACCGCCCATGTCGCATGAGTTGCGCAGGCGGTTACCCAGGGACGAGGAACGGATGCTCCAGTGGAGGAGGGGTTGCGCAGCGGCGCACGGAAAAATTAATGGGTTAGCATTAAGTCGGGCATGTCCTTCTACAGGGGAAACTGCAAAAATATGTTTAAACATAGTTCGGGGACGATTATCTAATATTTGTTTGGCTACTTGTTTGACTATTTCGCATTTTTCGCTAAAAATCCGCGGTCAAGGGGACATGCCCGACCTAAGGCTAGCAGGCGAAGTGCTAACGTTCGACCGCCGGATCCTCGCCGGAACCATCGCACCCAGGCGGCCGAGCACTTGCAGGGCAACTTCGAGCAGATGATGTCACAGCTGGAGGACCGCAG